TCATCCTGGAACCAAAATGGAGAATGAAAGAGATAAGCACAGTGGCAGAATGGGAAACACACACACACACACACACACACACACACACACACACACACACTGAAACACTCAACATGTAGAAACTGGGGAGTGAAATGAAGAAAGGAAACCAGAACTTCCCTGTTTAAAAAAAATCATATGCAGCTTACAATCCTTGTCTGGTTCTTATAAAATGGAAGACGTAAAATTCAATTTATGGATGATTTCAAGCAGGGAGATTTTCTTTCCTGTTTTAGCTCTTACTCCTTCTCATAAGGACTCGGGGTCCTAAACAAACATCCAGGTCATAAAGAAATACATCTCTGTTTATTTGGACATGGAGGAAAACTAGAAGGTCAACTCGCTATCTTGCTCTCCTTTGTAAAACTTGGCCCGAGGAAAAAGAGGACTGGATCTCAAGCAGAAATCCTGCTCTATGGTGCATACAGAAGGAGATGTGGTCTTCTTTCCTTGATTTGGTTGTTTACCACCTACAGAAAGGGAGTCTAGTTCTTAAAAGCACTTTATAATGAAGGTCTGTGTGCGCATGGGTGTGTGTGCGCGTGCATGTGTGTTTGTGAGAGTGCGTGTGTGTGTGTGGCTGTGTGTGTGTTTGTGTGTGTGTGTGTTTGTGTGTGTGAGTGTGTACGGTGATATACAAGGGCAAATAAAACATCTCTAGCCTTTAAAGCTTACTAACCTCGACGGTTCACTTTAAAAATTAAATTGTAGCATATTCGATTATATTGTTATATTCTATTAAGAAAAGGTGAGCAACTGTCCATCTCAGCGAGTGAGCCAAGCCGTCATATTCCTGACATCTACATCTCAGTCATATTTGAATAGCATTTGTTTAAAATAAGACTGTTCTGTAGCGCTTAGAAAATGTCTTTATATTATACATTCTAATTTGGGCTGTATCCTTCTGTTCTCTTCAGAAACACTATTTTCTTTAGCTACATAATATACTTTCAGTGTGTGTGTGTGTGTGTGTGTACTAATATTAATTATTAATTACATATTAATTATTTTACTGATTTCTCCTAAAATAACAGTGTTTTAAGAAGGCAAATAAGTCCATTTATGTTCACATTCAATCTAAAGGCATTTGTTGGTTTCCCAGTTTGGATGTTTCTTGATAATTTTCCTTCTTTCACAATGAAAAGTTAAGCATTCTGTCACCAAAGCCGGGAGGATGAGACACGGGTCAAAGGGCACTTGAGAAACAAACAGCCAGGCCAGTTTATTTAAACAGATAGTGGGACAAGGGAGCTGACCTCTGTTTGACTTATAGTGGGAGGAGCAAGAATGCCATTTTATTGCTTTGCCCAGAAGGAAAATGTTTTTGTATCTGGATTCACCCCCAAGCCTTCTAAATTCAGCTCTGTGATGTGCAGCTAATTCCAAAGAGAGAGGTTTGGGGGAAAAGAGGTCCTCTCTGATGGGGATAAAATATGCCAAGGAGAATCAAGTTGTGAAATGATGCCACATACAAATGAAGAGGTCTTTTGGAAAATGAAATACTTTGCTGGCTAACTTGTTACTTTCAGGTGAAGATGTTCACCATGACCTCAAGCCCTGATACAAGTTGTTCATAGTATAGAGACTTCAGTAATGTTCCAAGAATTTACTGTGTACTAAATACATTGATAATATTTTACTATATTGAAGTGTTTTTAAATGATGGCTTTCAGAAAGATCAAGTAGGACTGAAGGTTAGCTGGCAGAGTGCACGCCCATCACACACCAGGCACTGGGTGCAGTCCATCAGTACCTCATAAACCAGGCATATTTAAGAAGCCTGTGACCTCAGCATTCAGGGGTTCAGGGTCATCCTCCTGAGTTATAAACAAGTTGGAGGTCAGCATGAGCTCCATGCAACCCTGTCTCAGAACAAGAAAGTTCTATGTAGACCTTGTAACCTCTCTGAACAATTCAAAGTGGTTGAGTTTTCTTTGATTTCAAGTGTTTCCATTTGTTTTTAATGGCAGGACTCTCATCCTGGTGTCTCTATAACTATGAATCTCTTACATCTGCATACCAATAAGCACACACACACACACACACACACACACACACACACAGGTATCTCCCCAACAAAAAGAGGTAAATAATACCTACTGCCTGTGTGTGGTGAGCTAGGAGGATGTGGTAATGAGTTTGTCCATCAGAAGGGGACCAGGACATGCCTGGAATAAATGTGACCAGTGTGTCTCTGCAAACCTCCACAGAGGAATTCCGTAATTTCAGGAAACTGCATAGAGTGGCCTGAGGGATAGGAGGCTCAAAATATGAGAGGTATTTACATCTAGGTGGGGAAAAAAACAAAAACAACTTTTAAGAACCATGAATGTTTAACCCAGGGAAAAGAGAAAGAAGCCTAGAGGACATGAGGGCTATGTTCAAGTGCTGACTGAGATGATTTCAGTCGCCACAGAGCTCTGTACCGTGGCAGGATTTTAGATGGAGGACAGGACCTTCCAACGCTCACTTTATTCACAGTCTCAGGGGAAAACAGTTTGTACTGTGTTGTCTTCAATCCAGTAGAGCCTGGGCATTGGCTTGGTGGGATTTCATAGAGGAAATCCATGCCAATTGGCAAACTAGGTGACAAAGCACTTCCTAAACTTGCCTTACAGTTTTTCTATGGTGCCCTGGAGATGAATGGCTGTGGACTGGTAACCTGAGCTGGTTACTATGCACTGGTCTCTGGGTTTGAGTGTAGAGGAGGCAAAGGTCGGAATATGGAAAACCTGAGTCATGGAATCCTTTCTGAGTAGCTTCATCTTTCTCTGTTCTATATACTCAAGCTGGGCAGCCACAGGGACTCCTAGAGCCACAGAGATGTTCATTGTTGTGCTTACTCCTCGTCTTAGCGCAAGTGTTGCTGCCAGTGGTGACTGCCTCAGGAGCAGCTGCTTTTCAGATGTCTGAGTAGGATGGAATATTCTAGAGGGTGGTGTGTCAATGGCTGTGCAGTTGTTATAGCATTAGAATTTGTTGGTTACACTGCTTTGTGTCGTCAGTAAATTCTTAACATCTCTTTGGTAGCAT